TATTCGGATCTTTCGGATTCCCTTCTGATCTTTTTTCTGGATTATTCGGATCTTTCGGATTCCCTTCTGATCTTTTTTCTGGATTATTCGGATCTTTCGGATTCCCTTCTGATCTTTTTCCTGGGTTATTTGGATCTGTCGGGTTCTCTTCTGATCTTTTTCCTGGGTTATTCGGATCTTTCGGATTCCCTTCGGATCTTTTATTATTTGGATCTTTCAGATTCCCTTCTGATCTTTTATTATTCTGATCTTTTGGGTTCCCTACTGATCTTTTTGCAAGTGGAACAGGTGGATTAATTGAATCTTTCGAATTTCCTTCAGATCTTTTGGCAATTGGGTATGATTCAGCAATTGGATATTCAGGATGTGGTAAAGCATTTACCACGGAGAGGACGGCTAATAAAAGAATTCCAGAAAACTTCATGGTGATTGTATAAAAAATTGGTTTTTCTTTATAAATGTATATATTTATTGGATTGATAATCTGTTACCTCAAAGCAAGCAAATTACAGTCTTTTTATAAGAAAAGAGAGTTTGACTGATCTCTTAATTATTTCCTTTTTACTTTCGTTATTCTTAAGTTTTTACTTATTGGTGCTTTTTAGAAAATGGAAATATCTTCGTATATTGCAAAAAAAGAATAATTTATTTTTTGGCGATCGAAATCTACCTCATTTTAAATCATATTGCTTATAAGCTTTTGGTATAGACTAGAGGCGCAGACATTTAGAATTTTGAAGATAGCTACCCCAGCAAAAATATCACGGCGGTTTATCATTTATTATTTAAATAAATAAATCAAAGATAAAATCACTCATATTGGATAAAAATTTGTAAATTTAGTACATACGTATATGGAAAATTTTTAAATAGCAACTGCGTTGCGCTAGAAACTAGGAATATTATAATGATTAAATTATGCACTTGGTATATGACATAATTAATTATATACATTGATCCTCATCGATTTGGTTTGAGTCAAGGTTAGACATAAGGTTAATAGTTTAGACTAAAGATTGTACCCGTACTGTATAACATTTATTAATCGGGTCAGAGCTATTGCTACTGAGTGATCAAATTAATTTTTTGCTGATGCTGAAATATATAAAATTAAAATCATAACAAAATCTAGATAACTATAAAACATACCACTCATAACACCACTTAGAATGGTATGATGAGGTTATTTTAATACCATCATTCAGAATCATGATTTATATCTGACTAATTATCTAATACAATTCAAATATTTTTTAGATTCCATTTTTAATGAATTAAAGGCATGCAATTCATCACAAATCATTTGATTTCATTCAAACATGAAACAGCCGGAATATTCAAAAAATTATAAGCTTCGGACCTGTTTTCCTAATTCATATTATATAGTTTTAAGATAAGCTATTTGCACTGATATAGTCTAATCATAGCAACTATTTATTTGATAAAGTATTAAAAATTAGGTGACCATATTTATTTTATTGCGTACATTGGTTCATGTACTGTACCAATACGTACGTACAGTACATCGAAATTTTTTTGACAAATAAGATTGCATCCAACATTTATATCGACCAATAAAAAAAATTAACGTACGTACGTACGTGATATTACTCGATGATCGATCACACAATAACTAATTACTCAATCTTATTGTTCACTAAATTTTTTGTCAATACGTTCTATCGTGAATGCATTAATCATTAAATTAAACCATCCTATTCTAAAGATATGAGTGATCGGTCATGTGAAAATTGATCGATCTCTAATGCTGTAATATACGCAAATCATTTCGTTTGAATTGAACGACCAAAAAGTGCCAGTAGTGGCGAACGAGTCATTCTAATAGTTATAATTAATGTTAGGATGAGAAGATCATCTTCCAATAGCTCTTTATGGTTAATTTTAGGATGAGAAAGATTATCTTATAAAACCATTCTAACAGCTTTTAAAGGTTAGCACTTGGTGTTTGAATTAATATGGTTGTATTCAATGTTTCGGCGTGACAAATCATGTGACTGTTAGTAAGAGTTGTGATTATACCCTAAGTCGGTTAACTATTCGACACTTTTTCATAAATTTCTCAAAAATATTTTTGATTCGTGAAATAATTAAAGTGTAAAAATGTCATCACTTAGCATTGCAAAAGAGATTACAGAATAGCGATATGATATAAGTAACTTAATCAGATGCGAATACAAGTTTAAAAAAACCACTGTGCTAATCTGCAGTCATTCCTAATCCTAATATTACGGATCAGTATGGTGCGCTTTTTTTAATTGTACTGTACTGTACATTCCCATATAAATCAGGGCTCCCATACCATACAGATATTTATGGATTTGTAAACGAGATTTGTAATAATCTATTGGGGATTAGCGGAAATTTCGTTTCCGCTTATTCACATACAGATCGAAATATGTACTATTTATTTCCCGCAACGGCGGGACATCCCCGGTCATCTGGGGCCCGAAGGGCCCACAGTAGGGTGGAGATCTGCCGGGTTATTTCCCCGTAGCGGCGAAATAAGGGTATTATTCTTCGTTTTTATATGATGTCATGACGGGCTTTACGACTCAATCACTAGTTTGATCAATAAAAAAAAAAATCGAGTTTCTAGCAATGTTTGTTATTTCCCCGGTAACGCTTGTTATTTCCCCGGAAGTCCGGGGAAATAACAAACATTGCTATAAACTCGATTTTTTTACTGATTAAAGTAGTTGTAAACCCATCATGCGATCATATAGAAACGTGGAATAATATCCATTAATCCCGTGATCTTGACATAATGATGTAGTTTTAAAGTTCCAATCCATTAAGCATTTATCCAGATAATTATCAGATATCCGAATCTGAATTTATTTTGGATATCCATTTACTATTGATATCCGGATAATTATCCGAATATCTGAATTATCCGGATAATTAGATACGGATAGCGGATGATGGATTTATCCGGATTGGAACTCTAAACGAGTTAACTGGGTCACCAGGATAATTTTAATTAGGGGCCTGCAAGTCGGGCACGTGCCCATGTCTGACAAAGAAGGCACGGACATGGACACAAGCACAAAAATTTGGCACGGACATGGGCACAGATCCAAAAATTTGGGCACTAGTTGGCGCGGGCATGGGCACAGCTTCAAAATTTTGGCCAAGAACTTTTGTAAGTACGAATGTAAAATGTCAGACACTTTGGTGCCTGGCCTGATGCCAATGCGCCTGGCATGGGCATTTGCAGACCCTAGCTTAATAAACTGAATTTTTCATCTGGGCTATTAGTTTTATAAACGGGTAGTAACCAGAAGCAAATTTTTATACAGGCCTAATCTCTATGTTTAACAAGTATCTTCTGTGCCTAGCATTGACTACATATGTATGTATGTATTTACATACACTACCTAACATAATCCCTGATGAAAAATTTTCAACATACGTACGTACAAACTCCCGGATTCAGGGCGTGAAGAATACATTTTTATTTAAAAAAAGTGGTTTATTAAAAATGTACAAATACTGTATACTCAATAGATATCTATATTTTTATATAATATAAAATTAACAATAAAATACATAAATTTTATATAAAATACTGTAGAGAAAAAACTCATAAATTTCATCACAATATATACAGTCGACACTCTACAATATTATTGGTCTTATATAGAAGGTGCAAAATACTCTAAGCAGTATTGTTAAATTTTGCGGATGTTCTATGGGCAATATAAAAAATAAACTCCGCTAATGATTAGTAATCATTAATAGATATTTAGCGGAGTTGCGGAGTTTGCCCACCTATTCCATAGAACATCCAATTTTGCTTCCATGGGAATTTTTAATTTTCCAGTAAGAATTTGCCAATCAAAAACATTTCTCTAATGTATTGATTAAAAGATTCCATCTTAGTGAAATATAGAGTGCAACCCACAAGAGTGGTTTATTTTTAACAATCTAAAACCGCTTATTTTAAATGCAAGGTCCCTTTACAAGAGCCCTTTACTGCACAATACCTCGGGTATTTGATAAATTTTCAAAAATTTTTGACTCTGATCTTTTGATCAACGCACTACAATAATTTTACATGGGTTCTTCGCAGTTGAAAGAGCCAAACTGCTCTGCAATTCGAACAAATTTGGCACAGGCTACGATACCTTTAACCAATCAAATTGCAAGATTGTTTAACCAGTATCCGAGTCCTTTATATTACAAAAAGCCCATATAACGAACTTTTTCTCAGTTACAGTCTTAACTGAAACTTGCAAATTAGCAACTTCAAAACTACTTTAAAATAATTATATTATAACTATAAAGTAACTATATAGTTACTTTGTAGTTGATATAGTTATACATTTACTATACGTTAGCAATACGCCTACTACAGTACTTACTACTATATTACTCTATACTTTTACTATATTTTATAAAAACTTTTTATAGTAAAAATATAGTAAAATATATAGTTGTAATATAGTAGCTATATATTAATAGTAAATTATAGTAAAAGTATAGTAAAATATAGTAACATAGTAGTAATGTACACAGGTTGAATCAATGAATATCCGGGAGAAAAGTTTCCCGATATGTACCCGTTAGTCTGCCATAGATCCTCGGAATATCCACTCTTAGCACTCTGGGCCTAAAAGTAAGATATCGAGATATCCCAATATTTTGCTGTTATGTTACTGATATCGATCTACCTCCCGATATCTTGCTTCTAAAATGCTGCTGATATTCAGCAGGTATTTGGCGGATCTATGGCAGACTAACGGGTACATATCGGGAAACTTTTCTCCCGGTATGTTCCCGATATTCATTGATTCAACCTGTGGTTGTAGTCAATAGTAGTAGTAGGCGTATTGCTAACATATAGTAAATATATAACTATAGCGATTATATATAGTTACTTTATAGTTATTTTATAATTATTTTAAAGTAGTTTTAAAGTTGCAATTTGCAAGTTTTAACAAAGGTATTTATAGAGATGACTTTATAGCAACCATCCCTCTTTAAGATAATGATAAAAACTATATTTAAAAAATACATTTATGAAAGGCATTTTTAAGAGCTCTATAAAGTTGTGCATTTAGTCTTAATTTTTAAGCCTAAATCTAGAATAATTAATAAGATTACTTGTAATTTATTTCTTATAGTAGACGAGTTTTTAATAGGCTAATAGGTTCGAACACATATATAGGTTTCTTTTATATATATCTCAATTTTATGAGTTTTGTATCTCTCAAATGACCGCAGTCAACTTCGATATATTGAATCAGAGTTCAAAATAATATCAATTCATTTAAAGATAAGGTTTATTAAAGAACAAAGAAATCTTTAATTGGGGTATTGTAATCTTCTATACATTTAACACTTTCAATCGTTCTATTGGAACAATATCGAAGGTATTAATGTCATTATAGATAGTAACTTTAATTTATTATAGATGATGACACTGGAGATTGCGATATCTTCGTCATCTTGTAAACTATAATATTTTTTTACTGAGTTACATACGGCTGTTCTATCGCTGAATTCGAAATGGTCATAATGTATCAGCAGCGTACATACAATGATATAATACAAATCAGGCATCTGTATTCGCATAAAATTCATTTCAACCAGTGTTAGTACATCAACTAAAAACGAAGACTTGATTATATTCTTGTTTTGAAGTTGGTTCTCGATGTTTGATTTTTACAAACAGAATATTGCATAATCTAAAATTCTGCTAAAATTTTTAGGATTAAGGGAACTATTCAAAAGTGATAATAGATGTTTTGTTACCCAGCGTCAGGCACATGAAGAACACTTCTGGTATGGAATTATTAGTAAAAAAAAAAAAAAATCCGGGTTATTGACGTAATTAATTTCTTCCATACGTATAATAAGAGTTCCTAAAAACTGGGGTCAGTCTGACATAATGCTTCTTTGTTATTTTATTTTATGAATTCTAAATAAAAATATTCGAGTGCATTTCAATGAAATCTTTTTTGAATGTGTAATCATTTTGCCAGTTGACATCAACAAACACGTAATAAAGATTTTGATCAAAAAGAACAATGGAATAAACAAGCAAACAGGTTTTAAACAGGTCAATACAGCAATTAATAATATGTTTTTTTTGAATTTTGAACGAAATATGCATAATGTAAAATGTTGTGTATTTACATTGCTTTTAACGAGGTGCATAATTATATGCAACTATGATGCTAAGGGCTAAATTGCTCAAAACAAAAAAAAAACGTGAAGATACTTATATGTTTTTTGTTTGCCTTTTCTAAAATATAGTGTGTAACTAATTGATACTTAAATATTTTTGCCCGAGATAATACCAGGGGATGAAAAATTAATTGATAGTTATATACTGTATTTTATGAATTAATTGCGCTGTAGTCTATACTAGATGGTATAGCTTGTTTTATTTTTTAAAATCATGACTTATACAGAAGATTTTTTTAAAAAACTAACTGGCAGCTTTATAAAGCAACATGATTTCTATATATTTGCCAAGTAGTATTTAAAAAAATCTTTTAAAAGTTGATGCATTTTAAAAATTCATAGTATTTTATTTTACATACATTTATATATTTATTACTATGTTTCAATTTTAAACAAACTTAAAAGCTTATAACTTATCTTAAAACCGAAAATTTAAATTTGACCGGTAATGATTCATTAAAATAAAATTCTATAAAGTAGTTAAATGGTTTTTTAAAAAAATATTGCTTTATAAAAAAATTGGTGCATTTTAAAAGATATATTGTTTTTTTTATGTCTAAGATAAACTACTTTAGCACCATATAAAAAATTCGAATAGGCATATGTAGCCTAGTAAGCGACCTTTAAAAAATGATTTAATCTTTAGTATAATTTTGTGTCTAATATTGTGTTTAATATTGTATATTTTTTACTGAAATGCTTAAGATCCCCAAAAATTACTGCTTTTTTTAAACTTATAAATAAATAAATGAAAAAAAAGCAGGGTCGCCATGCTTTGTGAGTTTCAGCCTTTCAATAATCCCCTCTTTGATGTGATATTCCTATGTATATATGCTAGATATATGCTAGAATACTAATTAGATGTGATTACATAAAAAATTTTTTCAATGCCACTTTTTTTCACGCGTCTCACAAAACAGAATTCTCAGACAGAAAAAAAAAACGCCAAGTTCTCTTTGTTAACGGATCAATCGGACAAACTATATTGACTATATTTGACTGTATAATTTAAAGTAGCCTGCATTGATAAGAGACAATGGAATTCCATCCTTTTAACCGCGCTTATTTAATCATCACAATAGATTTTATATTGGTTTACTACTAAAATGAGCTAGCCGACAATTAAACACCAAAAAAAGCTGACATGTTGCAACAATATATTAAAACATTAGTGTGATATCACAATGATATTACAACTAATTTAAACTAAACAAAAAAATCAAGTACTTCTTTCTTTCATTGTTATTGAGACGCGTCAATTTTCTTTTGCATACAATCGTTGGCTTAATTGCATTATCTGATATCATAAAGCCTGTTACGAAATCTGTATTCCAAATGGGAACAGGGCGTTTTACTTTATCTATGATATTGTCTTTGTCCTTGTGATGCTATCTATGCACCAAGTTTAAGTCCAACTACAATGACTGTTTCGTGTCTCAAAGATTCTCATTCTCACCGATGTCTTTCTTACATTCATTCGTTTCTTTAGATATTCAAATAAACACAACATTTCGCATAGCATAGCTCCCACGCAATCGTTTAACCAATTCGCGTGCGTTTACCTCTCATATATTACCTTATTAAGTTAGTTGAGCTCCTATGTAAAAATAGTTTATCTAAATAAAGATTATCTTGAAACATTAAAAGATCTTTACACGCATTCACTTGAAAATATAAACATGTAAAAGGGGTATACTTCTTATCATCGCACAACATCGGTTCTTTGGAAAATGCTTCCGGAACTTGCATGCAGATTAGTCATTAGATATTGTGTAATTTATCATATATGCCTTTTCTGTGTCATTGGAAACGTTAAAAAAGACTTGAAAGAAACTATAGATTGTGATAAAATAATTTATATGATCGGGTACATGTGTCAATGCCAAATTCCTTTCTCCATATTAAGCGATGGCGCGAATTATCACTAATATTCACTACTATATATTTTTTTTATCACCATGTGAATAATTTTAGATTAATGGGATACTTTACATGTTTGGAATTATCAATACAGAGACCGTACGTACATAAATACTCACATGTAGAATATCTATTTAAATCTAAAATATTCAGGGACTACAAAGAACAATTGCCACGTATTTAAACAAAATAAAGAAATAATAAATTTGGCTTTTTTACAATATATATAGGTATTTTATAATAATAACTTTATATATATTATCTACACGTATAATATTCTCTACTACGTATGCGTCGGCAAATTTCTAAATAAAATTTACCTATATTAGTTTATATATCTAGTCAAAATTTATTTAAAATATCCGAAAATATGCATATATTTATTATATATTATATATATATGTGTATATATTTATATATATATATATATTTATTATATATATATTTAATTGTATATATTATTAAATAAATTTTATAAAATATTTTTAGAAGAATATTTTAAACTACGAATTTTTAATCTAATTATATAGTTATGTTTTATAAATTTATAATAAAATTTAGGAATATTATATTCATAATACCGATGTTATATATAGTCTGAGTTGGAGTTAGATTAGGGCTAGGGTGCAGCTTTAAGATAAATAGAGGTTTTTATATAATGAATACCCGATCCCGCTTACTTAGTACGTTTTTGAGGTATAGCATAAGGTGTTATATTTATTATAAATATAACTTTCCTAAATTTTAAAATTTAGTCGTTTAAAAAAACGATTTTAAAGGTATATAAATTATTATAAATCAACTTTACTAAAATACTTACAGTTTTACTGTAATAACATATATATTGTGGAATTTGATAACGTTGTATTTGTAATATTATATATTTTATTATGAAATAATTTATTTTAAGTTACTCACCCTCTTAAGTACAAATGATATATTAATATGTTAGGGTTAGAGTTAGAGTTAGGATTAGGGTTTGGGGTAAGGCAAAATTGCGAGAGGAACATTTTCATTAGTTACACAATAGGGGCTACCCTAGTAAATTTTAATATGGGTGAATTATTAAATTATTATATTTTATTCACTATATAAAATGCAGTATGCTTTTAATTTTTTTTTGAGGTTGGAACCGGTTGTAAATTAAAAAATCGAATTTATATGAAAACCGGTTGATATTTAAACCAGTTAATTTAAACCGAATTTAATCGAGTTTTTATGTAATACATATTTTTTGTTAATTGGTTGGTCAGCAAGGATTCTGATTGGTTAAAAATCAAGACTAAATTTACTCCTAGTGCTAGTGTTTCGATCTAGATCCGACCATCTGGCTTGTCCAGATAAATTCAGATATCCCAGAAGAGATTTTTACTTGGATTGGTTAAATACGAACCTGAGTGTCCAAAGTTAGCTTTTATATATAATCTCGTAATCTGATGTGAGTTCAATCTGGATTTGATATATAATAAAACAAAATTAGAGCATTATACGATTTATTATAAACCGTTTACTATCAAAACAGACTAAGCTCAAATTTAAAAAATTAATTATTTTTATTAATATTTTTTCTTATTCAAGATTATATTATAATAATATTATTGTTGCCAAGTTATGGAGAATTAATAAAAAATACAATTAGTAATTATTACTGCTAGTAATAATTAGATGATTTTTTTATACTATATAGTCAAACCTCTCTAAGTACATATCTTTAAAACTATAAATAAAGATTTATGTAATCTGGTCTTAAACCAATAAACCAGTCTAAAATTAAAAAATTAATCTGCTCTAAATCTTAAAATAAGACCAATCTGGGCCAGAATATTTATTGCAAGCCAAATTGTATTCGAAGTATAAGATTTTTTATTTTGACATAGAAATTGATTTGACTTTTTTACAAAATTTTTTATTAGTGATTTTTTTTGAAACCAAAAAACATTTTTCTTAAATATGCTTTGATTTTTGATTTTAAAAATGTTAAGATTTGGCACCAAGAGATTAAATTCATATAACAAGAGCCTTATTCTGCTAATAAAGTTTTTTATTTTTTTTTTACTAACATTATATTTGACTCTTTTAATAATTAATAACTTGTATTATATTTATAAAGATTTTTTTTTTTTTTGAAAATTTGGCAATTTTGCCAATACTTTATTAGGTATAAATATTTAACTTACAGAAAACTTTACAAGTATTAGCTAACCTGGCTTTTTGTAACACTAAAGTATTCAAATTATCCATGTTCAATTTGCTATAGTAAAGTTTATCTTCATATCAAACCATTCTGTACTAGATTATTTAATATATCACTAAATAGTATTTATGATCTATCAAAATTGCCTTCTTTTTTAACCTTATTCTTTTAGCTTTCTAAGCAAAAGGATTTATAGTCTCTAACTGATTTATAAAAAAAATACTAATATTAAAAAAATAAAGAAGAAAAACAAAAGAAAGAAAAAAAAAAACTATCTAAGCAACAAGAAAATAAATAACAAAACAAATAAAAAAAAACACTATTATAGTCTATACTACATTAGCAAATTTAATAAAGCTTAATATTACATAATAAATTATGACCTATAAAAAAGGTATAAGATATTTCAAAACTTTGCGAAATATTAAATTACAAAATATTATGTAAGATATTACAAAATATTATGTAAGATATTTCGCAATATAACAAAATAGAAAGTGAAATTTTACGAAAAATTTACAGATAGTAAATTAAATCACATTAATTTGCACATACTTAAAGATAATAACAATAAGTAAAATTGCTAAATGTATATTATTAAAAAACATCTAAATATATTATAATATAAATTGAGAAAAATACAAATAAAATAAATTAAATTGCATTAGTCTGCAATAATATAAAATAAAGTAAACTATAAAAATAATATTAGAAGTTAGGATTTCATAGCCTAGTAGTTTAGATACCTAACTCTCTATAGACAAGGTCAATAGTTCAATTATAGCTGGTGGTAATTAATTGAATTAATTATCTTTATAACCTTCAGAGGCTTTTGAATATGGAACTCTGTAGTGATAAGACTATGTGAAGTATATATTTGGCCAATAAAGAATTCTTGGAAGGAGTCCTGAGCTATGGAGAAAATCAGGTACTGCATATGATATAGGTTACAGAAGGTAATATTGCAGAAGGCTATATATATGAATCCACAATTAGTAAGATAGCACCAACAACCCTAAAATGGCATTGAGATTTTGATTTGGAGAACAGCTATATGCAGTATATTCAGAAGTGGTGAGAGAAGCAGTGAATATAGTAAGAAGCTGCGGTAAAAGAATAGCTTTACCAAATATAAAACACCTCTAGCACAATAAAAAAACAAAGAAAACTGGTTAAAAGAAACTCTGAAAAGCATAGAAGCAAGCATTCTAGCAGTATGAACATAAAGATGGCTAGTGAGTATAGTTGTACAATCTATATAGGAGTCTATAATGAAATATAGCAAAAATGTAGATTCTGGGTTACTGCTTTGTAGCAGTAATTAAATAAGATTCTTAACTCCTATTCTAAGGATCTAGACTTCTGTATCACTATACCAATAGGGAGTACTATAAAAGGGGTGGTAGCCTAATTAAGTGGTATATAATGTGAATACTTGAAACTATGCGAACAGCTCTCCTAATGATGATAGCAGGTGGCTTGAGATATGGGTTTTTGGATAGTGGCAGCACCTGGCTTGAAATATGGATTAGGACTCTGAAGTAATATCTTGAGAGACACCAAACTGGAAGCAAGAAGAGTGCTCACTCCTAGAACACCAATTTAGAAATTATACAAGATATGAATTAGAAGTAATGTAATAAGTAATAAGAGGCCCGTTCATCACTCGTACAAAAATTTGCCTAAACCTGCATAACTAAAAAATTTATTTCTACAGTAATTTATTAAGAT